CGCCTGCATCACTTCTAAGCCTGCATCACTTCTACGCCTGCATCACTTCTACGCCTGCATCACTTCTACGCCTGCATCACTTCTACGCATGCATCACTTCTACGCCTGCATCACTTCTACGCCTGCATCACTTCTACGCCTGCATCACTTCTACGCCTGCATCACTTCTACGCCTGCACCACTTCTACGCCTGCACCACTTCTAAGCCTGCATCACTTCTACGCCTGCACCACTTCTACGCCTGCATCACTTCTACGCCTGCATCACTTCTACGCCTGCACCACTTCTAAGCCTGCATCACTTCTACGCCTGCATCACTTCTACGCTTGCATCACTTCTACGCCTGCATCACTTCTACGCCTGCATCACTTCTACGCCTGCATCACTTCTACGCCTGCATCACTTCTACGCCTGCATCACTTCTACGCCTGCATCACTTCTACGCCTGCATCACTTCTACGCCTGCATCACTTCTACGCATGCATCACTTCTACGCCTGCACCACTTCTACGCCTGCATCACTTCTACGCCTGCATCACTTCTACGCCTGCATCACTTCTACGCCTGCATCACTTCTACGCCTGCATCACTTCTACGCCTGCATCACTTCTACGCCTGCATCACTTCTACGCCTGCATCACTTCTACGCCTGCATCACTTCTACGCCTGCATCACTTCTACGCCTGCATCAATTCTACGCCTGCATCACTTCTACGCCTGCATCACTTCTACGCCTGCACCACTTCTAAGCCTGCATCACTTCTACGCCTGCATCACTTCTACGCCTGCATCACTTCTACGCCTGCATCACTTCTACGCCTGCATCACTTCTACGCCTGCATCACTTCTACGCATGCATCACTTCTACGCATGCATCACTTCTACGCATGCATCACTTCTACGCATGCATCACTTCTACGCATGCATCACTTCTACGCATGCATCACTTCTACGCATGCATCACTTCTACGCATGCATCACTTCTACGCCTGCATCACTTCTACGCCTGCATCACTTCTACGCCTGCATCACTTCTACGCCTGCATCACTTCTACGCCTGCATCACTTCTACGCCTGCATCACTTCTACGCCTGCATCACTTCTACGCATGCATCACTTCTACGCATGCATCACTTCTACGCATGCATCACTTCTACGCATGCATCACTTCTACGCATGCATCACTTCTACGCATGCATCACTTCTACGCATGCATCACTTCTACGCATGCATCACTTCTACGCATGCATCACTTCTACGCATGCATCACTTCTACGCCTGCATCACTTCTACGCCTGCATCACTTCTACGCCTGCATCACTTCTACGCCTGCATCACTTCTACGCCTGCATCACTTCTACGCCTGCATCACTTCTACGCCTGCATCACTTCTACGCCTGCATCACTTCTACGCCTGCATCACTTCTACGCCTGCATCACTTCTACGCCTGCATCACTTCTACGCCTGCATCACTTCTACGCCTGCATCACTTCTACGCCTGCATCACTTCTACGCCTGCATCACTTCTACGCCTGCATCACTTCTACGCCTGCATCACTTCTACGCCTGCATCACTTCTACGCCTGCATCACTTCTACGCCTGCATCACTTCTACGCCTGCATCACTTCTACGCCTGCATCACTTCTACGCCTGCATCACTTCTACGCCTGCATCACTTCTACGCCTGCATCACTTCTACGCCTGCATCACTTCTACGCCTGCATCACTTCTACGCCTGCATCACTTCTACGCCTGCATCACTTCTACGCCTGCATCACTTCTACGCCTGCATCAATTCTACGCCTGCATCACTTCTACGCCTGCATCACTTCTACGCCTGCACCACTTCTAAGCCTGCATCACTTCTACGCCTGCATCACTTCTACGCCTGCATCACTTCTACGCCTGCATCACTTCTACGCCTGCACCACTTCTAAGCCTGCATCACTTCTACGCCTGCATCACTTCTACGCCTGCATCACTTCTACGCCTGCATCACGTCTACGCCTGCATCACTTCTACGCCTGCATCACTTCTACGCCTGCATCACTTCTACGCCTGCATCACTTCTATGCCTGCATCACACGCCCTCTCTGTTGCCTCATACTGCCACAAATGCACAATGCCATGCCTGCATCACATCACATCGCCATTACTCGCCTCGCCTCGCCTCGCCTCTCTCATCCTCACCTTGAGGTTCCTCATGCCAGCAGTGCGAGCTGCCGTTTCAAACGCGCGGCCAAACACCGACGAAACCGCCTTCAGACAGTCCCCATGACCCCCACGACCACTGTCACATGACTTTTGAGTCGACTCAAAAGAAACCGCCTTCAGACGGGCCCCATGACCCCCACGACCACTGTCACCAACAAGATCAGCACCAGCACGACCATTAGTAGCACGCTCGTTATGAGCACTGTAACTAACATTACCACCAACAGCGTCCCCATGCGAACGACGCTGCACAAGACCATACTCCATGGATGTGTGGTGAGACCCATCCTGCTGCTGCTTCTCTGCATGCTCTTTCCCTCGTTTCCTCCTCCGCCTCCTTTCTGAGGCCGGCTGTGACTCTAACGTGCACTCTGCTCTTAACGAATGTGCTCCATGCACAGGCGACGAATCCTGTTCTCTTAGCGAATGTGACACTACTGAGGGGTGCCAGCGGCGACCTCCTGCCTCCCTCTCACGCAGCAGCTGAAAAACGGTGGGAACTTTCTCAGAAACTGTCGCGGACGATGGGTGGGCTTTGCCATGCCTGTCTCTCTCTCCTCCATACCGTTCCCCACCTCTTCCTCCCCCTCCTCCCCTCCCCCCATCCCCACTTCCTCCTCTCCCTACACCTCCACCTTCCCCTCCTCGTCCTCCTCCTCTTCCTCCCCCTCCCACTGCATGCACACCACCAGCTGCTGCTAACGGAGAGGGCGAGGGGGCCGGAGCGGCAGGTCGGGGCAGGCGGAAGTAACGGTTGGTGGCCTCGTCATAATAGAAGCCAGGCAGGTCTGCAAGGGCGTGCAAGATGGGGTGGACAGAAGACAAGACGCATGTCATGAGGCCACGAGGGCCTGGTAGGCGGAAGCAGCGATTGCTGGCCTCGTCCTAGTCGAACCCTGGTAGGTCTGCACGCACACGCAATGGTTGCACAGCCATGAGTTATGCTTTTATGTGAACCTAGGTGCCTGGCAGGCGGAAGTAGCGGTTGCTGGCCTCGTCAAAGTAGAAACCTGGTAGGTCTGCAGGCACACGCAGCACACGCAGCACACGCAGCACATGCAGCACACACACAGCCATGACATGGGGTGCACAACAGAGTGCAGGACAGACAACAACGGGCATGGCATGTCTAGGTAGCAGTTGGAAGCCTCGTCGTAGTAGAAGCCTGGCAGGCTGCACGCACATGACATGTGGTGCAGAGTACTCGCTTTTTTATCCCTTAAAAACCCTAGAGTATTAACCTTTAATCCCATAACAAACCCTAAAAACCTCGCAAATTTGTGTGGCCGTGCCATGGGGTGCACAACACAGTCATGGACTTCCGACAATGATTGTGCCACGAGGCCATGAGGTAGGTAGACCTTTCTTTTCTTTCTTGCTTTTTTCATAATACCCATGTGAGCCTACATCTGAAGTTTCAGAAGCAGAGCGACCAAGGGCTTATCCTTATGTGACAAAATCAGGGTAACCATGTTACAGGAGCAACTTAACTGCGGGCTTACCTAGGACCATGGCGTCTTGCGAAGGCTAGTGGCGCAAAGCTGACGACAGCTTGACCTGGACCGGCTTTGAATTAACAAGCCTGGTGCTCCCGAAGCTAAGCCTGACGGGCTGACGCGCCCTTATGGGTGGTTCCTTGTAAACATACAGCCTGCATGTTAGTTCTATAGTTGGGCTGACGCGCGTACAACTACTTGCTTACGTCCCTCTGGCCAGGACTCCTGTCGGACATGCGTCTCGTCTGAGTTTGGTCTAAAGCTGGCCTGAATCGCATCTGACTCTGAACTGAGCCTGATTCCTTATCGTGGTCGATATCATACCGCGTGCTTGCTACAACAACATCGACGGTTCACGAAACGCGATGCAGTTCAGCCAGTGGTCCTACGAGCAAACAGCACGAACAGAGAGAGACCGGCGACAGGACCTATCCCGGATTCGCCACAGAACGTGACGCTATTCGCGGAGCGTCGCTGCGCTTGATGGACGTATCGTGAATTCCCCGCCGCCGGACAGTCAGGCAGATGTACTCGAGTGATCCCACGCACGCAACACCAGTATCTGCCCTCTCTTTACTTGGCACCACCTTAAGGAAACATGAGCATGTATCAGCCCTTGGTGTGTGATTTGATCATGGGGGTGTGCATATAACTTCGCTCGAGTGCGCCGTTCCTCCAGCTGGTTACCAAATAGTCAGTTTCAACATCTTCTGGTCCGGTTTTGGAACGCAAAAAGAACGTTTCGAGTGTCTCCTCAACGGGGAAAATCAAAATAACCGAAGGTCGGATGGCGTTTGTTACGGTTGGTAGATTCGAGTATCAATTTTACGCAGGGTCGAACCAGCCCTGGACGCCGAAAACAACCATACAGTTCTGGATGGTTCGAAAGTGCCCTCAAGCACAATAACACAACCCGCAGCTCTACTGCGTTGAATCCTCCCTGATTCGTCTCGTCAACGGCGAGGTTGCACTTTTTCGGAGTCTAGAAATCCGCGCGATCACCGCTGCCTTGCGCCATTTTTCACGTCCTGTCAACGGCAGATGTTTATTTTTCCTGCCCTTGCCCTTGTTTAATTTCCCAGTTTAGTAGTCTCGTCTCGAGACACACTTCCAGCCCCGCTCTCCTGCTCATCTCGTAGTGTTGACTCGCTTCTACTCGCGCCGTTCGCCTTGCCTCATCGTCCCGTTTCGAAAATCGGCCTAAACTCGTAAATCCGCGTTTTTTCAATTTCGCCTTGCCTCCGCACACCGTCACTGACAAAGCTCGCGTTCTTTCTTCGACAGCAATATGTCGACTGCTCTATCCCCGTTACAAACCTTCCTGGCGTACGTGCAAGAAGCCACAGGGCTTGCTCCGTCAACAACAGTCTCGTTATTAGTCCTCATCGCGTCGATCATCTACGTCATCTTCTCGTACGTTCAGCAGCGCGCAGCGCCTGTTCCGCCGCCTGTCCCGGGCCCACCGGAGCCGATTAAAATAGGGGAAATTACCCTCGAGGAGCTAAGCCAGTACAGCGGCAGCGACCCGGAGAAACCGATCCTTCTGGTGAGTGATATGCGCTTTCTGCTGGCATGGGAAAATGGGCGTCAGGATCGTCTCGCAGTGTTTTGCTTCATCGCCTTTCCATCAAAATTAGCTTCTCCCTCACTCTCCCTTCCCTTCTTCGTGTAATCACTCTCCCTCCCCTTCTCCCTCTCTCCCCCTCCCTTTTTCCGTCCCCTTCTTCCTCCGCTCCCACCTCCCCTTCTCCCTCCTCTCCGCGATCCCCGTCTCCTGCCCAGGCCATTCGAGGGAAAATCTACGATGTAACTCGTGGAAAGTGAGTGCCTGCTCTTTCTACCGTGTGTCTAAGTTCATGTCAAATGGGAGTGAAATCGCATGTAAACCTGGTTTTCTTGACATACACCCTCTGCAGTGAGTGCTTGTTATGCACCCTTTGGCTTCTCCGATTGTTATTTCTGATACACTTGCAAGCCCGCACCATACTTCCCTAGTGGATTTCCTCCATCACCTTCACCTGCCTTTGCCATCGCCGGTTGCGAACCTAACTAGCCTCGCTAACATCGCAAACCCTTCATAAATTACAGCTCACCAAAGCACACCGAGCACTAACGCTTGAGGTGTTTGCAGGGAAGGAAGCGAGCTGAGGTGAGGTGAGGTGAGGCAAGGCAGAGTAACAAACACTGCACTGCACCCCCTTGCCCCATCCCATTCTCCCACTCCCAGATACTTCTACGGCCCAGGAGGCACTAACGCTTGAATTGTTTGCAGGGACGGAGGCGAGCCGGGCCTTTGCCAAGATGTCAACCGATCCTAAGGACGCGGTGGGGGATTTGACCGGGCTGACCTACTCGGAGATGGAGACCCTATGAGAGGTCACTATGAGGTCTTGGCAGGAAGATGAGTGAGAGGAGCCAGGCAAGCCATGTTTGAGTCGACTCAAAATTTTATCCTACCATGCCTACCCAACCCACTCTCCCGCTCGCAGGCACTTCTACGGTCCAGGAGGTCCCTACGAGGTGTTTGCAGGGAAGGAGGCGAGCCGCGCGTTTGCCAAGATGTCAACCGATCCCAAGGACGCGGTGGGGGATTTGACCGGGCTGACCTATTCTGAAATGGAGACCCTGAGGGACTGGGAGTCGTCTTTGCAGTTCAAGTATGATGTGGTGGGGTCGGTGAAAGGGAGTGGGGGAGGCGTGGGGGGAGGGGACGCAGCAGGAGGTGCAGGGGGAGCAGGGGAGACACAAGGAGAGGGAGGAGGGGCAGAAGCTGATGCAGGTACAGTAGCAGCAGAAGGGGAGGGTGGGGAAGGAGAGGAGGGAGGGGAGAAAGGAGCTGGTGGTGATTAGTCGTTTCCAGATAGTAGGCTCGGCTTGTAGAGCGTAACCCCCCCATTTGCTGTGATGGGGTTACAGCTTACACCGTGGCCATACTTGCACTGTGTAGTTCAAGTGTAGCCTTTTCATGCACTGCAGTCTGATAAGTGTATTTAAGAATTGGCTTGCTTTAGTAAGCATGCTTGCTGTCAGCATTCAGTGCATACAAATGTTCGATGCATACCACGTTTCTATTGTTGCACTACACTAATGCTTTACTGGGAATTTGCATCGCACTGCTTCTTGAGAGGCCGAGTCCTGCCGACCTCCAGCACCATCACAGGGAAGGAACGAGTCACGACGCACAGGCGTTGCCTTGCCTGCTTTGATGCGCTCCACATGCATGCACGGACCAAATAAATGCTTTGGGCGTATTCTTTAGGCGCCTCAAACATGCACATCGTCAGCGCTTAAACGCGCTGCCACAGTGCCACCACACCATCAGTCACAGGAGGCAAGCACAGTGTTGCCGTTGTTCCCAGAGGTGCTAGTGAGGCAAACATTCACGGTACGAGGATCTATGCTCTTGAGGCACACTATCAGGTCTTTTACGCGCTGCCACAGTGCCACCACCGGCGAGTACAGTGTTGTTGTTCCCAGAGGTGCTAGTGAAGCACGCACTATTGGGAGCTCTGCTCTTGATGCACGCACTGGTATCAGGAGCTAAACCCGCTGCCACAGTGCCACCACCCCATCGCAGTCACAGGAGGCAAGCACAGTGTTGCTGTTGTTCCAACTCACATCCACCACCATCGCCTTGTGTCCCTGTGAGGTAGAAGTGGGGCGGGAGGGGAGGGGAGGGGAGGGGAGGCGATGGGAAAGGTACAACGGGAGCTGTGAGCATCATCAGGCAGGTGCAGTCCTGTAGCATTACCGAATCAGCAGCGAGATTACAATTCGGTTTTGAGACGCCTCAAAAGCAATTTATTACCAACCACAGAGCTGTAGCATCATAAGCCGTGAGCCTACACTGTAGGCATGCAGCTGCAGTTTCGTGTAAGCCCGACCCTGAGTGTGTGAGGAGGATTACTGACCAGCAGGAACACGGGGAACAATAACTCACCGGAACGCGCGCCACAAGAGGACTGCGAGGCTTCATGAAGTCGTAGAAGTACACGTGGTGGTCGGCATCGAGTAAAATCTAGAAGTCATTTTAAGGTTATTTAAAACTCATTCCCACACTCACAGGAATGCGCGCCACGAGTGGACTGCGAGGCTTCATGAAGTCGTAGAAGTACACGTGATGGTCGGCGTTGCCCGTCACTGCATGCATGGGAAGAGTGTGAAGGGGACAGCGGAACGATGGGAGGAAAGGGAGGTTGGGAGCTGTCGCACAACCCTATGAGTGAATTCCCGTAGGCGGCACAAGAAGCAAGAAGGTGTCATGAAGTCGTAGAAGTACACGTGATGGTCGGCGTTGCCCGTCACTGCATGCATGGGAGGCATGGCATGGGGACAGTGGCATGAGAGCAGCAACAGTGGGGGCAGGATGGGAAGAGTAGAATGGGAACAGCGTGATAAGAACGACGCCATGGGAACAGCAGGACGAAGGCCGGAAAGTCCGATACTGGAGGAATATGTTGAATTGTGGGAAGGGGGGTGGATAGACAACAGGCGCGCGCTGGTAGGAAAACACTATAGGATGGCCTCCAAACTCACCGATCTATTCCCCCGACCCCGAGGTTCCAAGTGGGGAGCAGCAGGTGGCATTCATGTTGCACTTCTGGTGGCTTTCAAGGCGCATCAAAAGTGGGCAGGGGGGCATTGACTACCACTTTTCACCATTGGCTAACACTGCGAGCTCATTCTCCAACTACCACTGCAGACTCACCGATGTATTCCCCCGACCCTGAGGGCCCAAGTGGGGGGCAGAAGGCGGCATTCATGTTGGTGGCTTTTGAGGCACCTCAAGTGGGCAGGGCGGCATCAACCACCAATTCTCACCACTCACTACCACTGCAAAAACATTCTCCAACTACCACTGCACACTCACCGATGTATTCCCCCGACCCGGAGGGCCCAAGCGGGGGGCAGAAGGCAGCGTTCATGTTGGTGGCCCGCGAGGAGAGCTGCAGCGATATCTTGAGGAAGAGATATCCGTTGAGCTCCAGTGCAGTGCTGGTGGGTTGTGAGGAAGACGAAAGGATGGAGTGGGTAGAGAGAGTGCCATAGAGGTTGAGATGCAGGGAGTGTTTGAGGAAGAGATAGCCGTTCAGCTCCAGAGCGGTGCTGGTGGTGGGGAGAGGGTGGAGAGGGGTGGGGAGGGGAGGGAGGGGGGTGCGGGCACATGAAGGGGGGTACAGTCTTGTGGCGGCACTGCAGCGCGCCCGACTGCTTGTCCACCGTGAAGCTGTGAATGGCGCCCTCACTGTCCCTTACTGTCCCTCACTGTCCGCCTCCTTTGCAACCCCACCAAACCCACTACCGCCTACCTCCCCACCAATACTCACGTGTAGAAGCGCACGCAGCCATCCTTGCTGCATGCCAGGAGCACCGGCCCATTCGCCAGCACGGATGTCGGGCTGAAGTGCAGAGAAGCCACTGGCGCCGGGTGCACGACGCCAGCAACGGTCTTGTGGCGGCGCAGCAGAGCGCCCGACTGCTTGTCCACCGTGAAGCTGTGAATGGCGCCCTCACTGTCCCCCACAAACACCACACTGTCCGCCTCCCCTGCTCCCCCTCCAAACCCACCGCTTCCCGCCGCCGCCGCCGCCGCCGCTGCTCCAGCCTTGCTCGTCGCTCCTCCTCCGCCTCCTCCACCGCTGCTGCCGCTGGTGGTGGCAGAACCAGCTGCTGCAGAGGAGGCGAAGGTGGTACGATCAGCGACGAGGGCAGTGACGTTGCTGTCCATGGCCACGCGGCTCACCACTCGCCCCGTGCTGAAGTTCATCACCGTTAGCTCCCTCTTGCTGTTCGCCACCACCAGGAAGTTGTTGTTTTGCTGAGAGGGGGAAGGGAGTGGAGTGAGGTGGAAGTGGGGAAGGTGGGAAGGGGCAGGGGGAACGGACGTTGCTGTCCATGGCCACGCGGCTGACGACTCACCCCATGCTGAAGTTTATTACCGTCAGCTCTCGCTTGCTGTTCACCGCCACCAGGAAGTTATTGTTTTGCTGGTGAGTGGAAGGGTTGGAGTGGGAGGAGAGGGAAGGCAGGGATGGTGGGGATGGAAGCAGGAGAGAGGCACGCGGCTGACCACTCGCCCCATGCTGAAGTTCATTACCGTCAGTTCCCTCTTGCTGTTCGCTACCACCAGAAAGTTGTTGTTCTGCTACCAGCGAGGGAGGAGGGTTGATGAGAGGAAATTGGGAGGGATGGGAGCAGGAGAGAGCGGCACAGTTCACCACTAGCCCCATGCTGAGTGCATTGCTTTCAGCTCCTAATGAGTCATTACCGGGTGGAAGATGATGCAGGTTTGCGGAGTGAGCGTGTAGATGATGCGTAGGGACTGCCGCGACCCCACATGTGTGAGACCGCTGCATGTCCCCGCACGTGTTGTGTAAGTCATGTCTGGGGAATAAACCGACCTTACCAGGTGGAAAATGATGCAGGCCTGGGAAATGAGCGTGTAGATGATGCACAGGCACTGCCTCGACCCAAAATGCATGAGAGCACTGACACATTCATGCCCCGTCCATCCTGCGTGTATGGGTAATAACTGGGTGGGTGCAAACTCATGCATGCAAGTCTGCGCATTCCTCCGTACCGGGTGGAAGATGATGCAGGTCTGTGGAATGACTGTGTAGATGATGCGCAGGCACTGCCCCGACCCCACGTCCCACACGCGCACACTCTTGTCCGCCGACGACGAGCACAGGTAGTCGTCATCCGTGGACCAATCAAAGTCTGCCACGTGGATGGATGTGTGCACGGGTGGGTGGGTGGGATGGATGGGCGGGCGGGTGCAGCAAGAGATGAGACTGGTCATAGGTGGAGTGGAGTGGATCACACAGAAGAGAAAGAGGCGACTCAAGTCCCGGGTAGGTGGATGATCCGCAGGCACTGCCCCGACCCCACGTCCCACACGCGCACACTCTTGTCTGCCGACGACGAGCACATGTAGTCGTCGTCTGTCGACCAATCAAAGTCTGCCACGTGGGTGGGATGAATGGCGGGCAGGTGCAGCAAGAGAATAAGATTGCTCATAGGTGGAGACAGTGGAGTGGAGCACACAGACTGCCTGCAGACTCATCCTCTTGCTGCACCGGCTCTGCCAATCGTGCACCCAATGTGAATCTTGAAGTGCATAGGCAGAAGAGTGGCCGTCCTTGAAGCTTGAAAACGAGGAGTGGTTCCACTCCACCCGGCAGGACGGGTTTCACTCACGAGGTCACGGTGACCAGCAGGTCCGGGTGGTGCCGGGAGAACTGTTACTGTACCTTGTTCACTAGGGGGAGGAAGAAAGAGGTGAGTGAGTGGGGGGGGCAGATGTTTCACTCACCAGTGACCTCCTTGGTGTGTCCCTTGAGCTCGTGCTTCACTCGCGCCACGCTCACAGCACCCCTCTCTCCTTTCCCATGAGTGTTGAGCCAACTTAAGAGGGAGCGACTCCACAGAAGGATGGGTCTGCCTGATTTTTTTTCACTCACCAGTCACCTCCTTGGTGTGCCCTTTAAGCTCGTGCTTCACTCGAGCTACACTCGCAGCGCCCCGCTTCCCCCCTGCGCCACCTGACTTATTGCCCCCCCGGCTGCACGGCACATAGCACAGCCGGAGCGTGCCGTCCGCTGCCCCGTAGGCGAGCAGGTCAGGGTGGTGCCGGGCGAACTGCACCTTGTTCACTGCAGGGAGGGAGAGAAGGGGTTTTCCGAATTGGGTGGAGAATGGCGCATTAGGCACACTTGCTGGGCCCCTCTTCTCCCGTGCGCCTCCTCCTTCACTCCCCAACTGGCTGCACGGCACGTGGCACAGCCGGAGTGATTTTTGAGGCGCCTCAAAAATCGCCTCCTCCTTTACTCCCCAACTGGCTGCACGGCACGTGGCACAGCCGGAGTGATTTTTGAGGCGCCTCAAAAATCGCCTCCTCCTTTACTCCCCAACTGGCTGCACGGCACGTGGCACAGCCGGAGTGATTTTTGAGGCGCCTCAAAAATCGCCTCCTCCTTTACTCCCCAACTGGCTGCACGGCATGTGGCACAGCCGGAGCGTGCCGTCCGCTGCCCCGTAGGCCAGCAGGTCAGGGTGGTGACGGGCGAACTGCACCTTGTTCACTGCAGGGAGGGAGAGAAGGGGTTTTCATCGTGGGTGGTGGAGAGTGGGGCGCATTAGGCAGACGTTGCACCATAGGCGGGCGAGCAGCAAGGTGGTGCTGGGCGAACTGCACCTTGCTCACTGGCCGAGGGAGAGAGAGGGGAGGGGAAGAAGTGCACTTGGCGCAAGCAGGTCAGGGAGGGGCAGTAGGCACACGTTGGCTTGGCACGTTGCCCCCGTGCACGCGAGCAAGCAGATCCGAGTGGTGCCGGGCGAACTGCACCTTGTTCACTGCAGGGAGGGAGGGGGCGTGGAGAAAAGGGGGGGGTGAAGTGGAAAGAGGTGCGTTTGGCGCAAGCAGCCCGTATGCCAGCAGGTCAGGTCAGGGTGGTGCCAGGTGAACTGAACATCGTTCAGTGAAGGGAAGACGATGCGATAAGGAGAGGAGAAGGGAGGAAGGGAGGGGCGGGGAAGGGTGATGAGGAGAGGAGGTGGTAGGATGGATGGAGAGAGTAGTGCGAGAGGTGGTTTCTGAGGCGGAAGGGGAGATGCAGAAAGATAAGAGGACGACAAAGGGCCACATATGAGAAAAGTATCGAATGTCGGATGGTTGTTGGACTGAAAACAAGAGCTGACTTTTGAGTCGACTCAAAAGATGCAGAAAGATAAGAGGACGACAAAGGGCCACATATGAGAAAAGTATCTAACGTCGGATGGTTGTTGGACTGAAAACGAGGTTTACTTTTGAACCTTCTCCCAGAACAAATAGGTAGTCAGTGTCAGTGTCAGTGTCAGTGTCAGTGTCGCACCTGAAGCGAGGCAGTCATCGAAGACAGCACACATGCGCACAGGTGGGCCCACCTCCCCACTCCCCCTCCCTGCCACCGCCTCCCCTGCCGATCTCCTCCTCTCCAGCGCCTTCCCCGCACCCCCCTCGCTCCCTGCCCCTTCACTCCCTCTCCTCGCACCCTTCTTCCCCTCCGCTTCCCCTGCTGCCCCAGGCCGAGGAGGAGGAGGAGGAAGAACGTTCCGAGAAGCTTCTGTGGGAACGCTGCAGATGGAGGAGGTGAAGCCAGCAGGGAGGGCCGGAGGGGACGGCGGCTGCTTGCCGTCCTTGTGCTTGCTCTCGTCCTGCTTGCCGTCCTTGTGCTTGCTGCCCTGCTGTTCCTTCTTGTCCCTTTGATTTTCTGCTGCTACATCTGCTGCTGCTGCTGAAGCTGCCAACCCCGCTCCTCCATCTCGTCTCTTTGCTCCTACTTCCTCCTCTTCTTCCTCCTCCACTGCTGCGGATGATGATGATGCAACTTCATTCCCACCTTCCTCGTCCCCTCTCTCCCTGTCCGTGCGCGCATCAGAAGACACACCAGCAGCACCTGCGCCACTGGCTGCGCTGACCCGTATCGCCACCTCCTCCTCTATTCCGCTTTCCCTCTGCTCCTCAGGCCCATCAGAAGTGGGAGCAGCAACTTTAGAGGATGCAGCAGCAACATGCGCGGTTGTTGCTGGTTGAGTAACTGGCGCAGGTTCTGGCTTTCCAAGTGCTGCTGCTACAGCAGCAGCTATGGAGCCGGCAGCACTACCACTCGCGAAAAGAGCAGCCGTGTCAGTGCTTTGGGAGGTCTTAGTAGTAGCATCAGCAGCAACATCGGGAACGGCAGAAGCAGAAGCAGCAGCAGCACCACCAGCACCAGCACTCGAATCAGCAGCAACAGTACTCTGTCCTCCTGCCACAACAGTCTCAGTTGCTGCAGGCTTCGTAAGCCGTTCTTCCGACTCTTCTTCTTCTTCCCCACGGACATCAGCCACTGTCATCCCGTCTGCCTGAACCGTTCCCAACTCCCCTACAACCTCCCCGATACCAGCCTTCCCCGTATCAACCTCCTCCCCCATGCTAACCTCCCCCATATCGACCTTCCCTTGAGCCTTCTGCCCTGCATCAGCTTCTGGAGGAGCCACGTCAGCATGGGGCGCTGTGGGTGCTGCGCGCCACTCCTCCTCCCTGCTTGCCTCGCGCTCCTGCCGCCACGTGTCCCGCTGGGCGCGCAGGAAGGCACGGAAATCGGCGTAGCCCACTCCTGACACGTGCTGCCAGTGCTGGGGTGCGGGAGGGAAGTGTGAGGGGAGTGAGAGGGGAGTGTGAGGGGATTGCGAGGGAAAGGCGAGGGGAGTGCGAGGGGACTGCGAGGGGAGGGTGTGGTTACCACGTTCAACAACGATGTCGAGATAGGGAAGAGCAGACCTCAGCCATCCACGTCGACAAAGTATTCGGAGATCGCAGAACAAGCGTCTAATGTCGTATCATAAATATAGACTCAATGCGGGTCGAAGCGTATCTTTGCCGTTTGAGCATTGTACATGGATCGAGAGTTACAATATGACATCCGGAGGCATCATTATGATCACCTACGTGTCGCTGGAGGGTCGCGTCTTGAGCTTTAGTCTTAAGAAGAAACCGTCGGGTGCCAAGATAATCAAAACCATCCGTACTGCTGACGTTGTGGCCTGGCTCGAGAAGGAACGCCAGGCGGATAGCTTCTTGCGAGTCGACCGCCATCTTTTCCTGCAAGAAAATACGGAATGTATTCGAAACTGGTGATAGTTCAACACACGAGCCTGCGACACTAATAGAAGCTTTCACTGTCCTGAATGGCTGCTTGAGGAACAAATTTCTAGGAACCAAATCCCGGAGGGCCGACAGGCATGAAGCGCGGATCATTCCCCCTTCCCTCCAAATTCGTTTTGGGTTGCTCCAGTACAAGTTCCAGAACATGTTTCATATGTGGGTTGTGGTGGACTATTGTAGCAAATTATGCAAATGTGCAATTCCGGCCTGATTCTATTCACACCAAACCGCATCAAACCGCAAACCTCATCGAACCAGCTTACGGGAAATGTCCAGCACGGATTTGCAAAGAACCGATGTTTACCGTGTGGAAAACCACTACCCACAGCACACTCCTGATTTCTCCAACCTGCCTCTGCGTGCTCACTTCACCAGCCCCTATCAGATGCTCCACTCCACCTAACCTATGATCGATCTCTATGCATCGCGCCTTTCCCATGCTATTTGCCTACTACGACTTGAAGCCTGCTTCGTGCGCGTAATTTATGGAGGTCCATAAAGCGTTACTGATCCGTGCTGCCATTGTAGATCCCGCTCATGGTGTTGACGCTGGTCGCTAGTCTCGTCCCGTCATCGATCAGCCAGTAAAACGGCAATTGATCTACCGTTGACACGTTAGCAATGGCGCCGTGGTACAAGGAGAACACGAGCGTCAAGCTGTTCGGCGTCAACATCAACTTAGGCGACTTGACCGCTCTCCCGCTAGCCGTCGGTTACGCTCTCTGCTCCAGCCTCCTCGCAATCATCAACAAATTCGCCATCGGCGTTTTTCCTTACCCGAGCCTCCTAACCTCTCTCCAGTACCTCACATGCGTCGTCGCCGTCATCACATCCGGTCAATTTAAACTCCTAGTCCACGACCCGATCCGATGGGACATGATCAAGAAGTTCATTCCAGCTGCTTTCGTCTTCTACATGGCGATTTTCACCAACACCTCGCTGCTTCGCTACGCGAATGTCGACACCTTCATCATCTTCCGATCCTCCACGCCTCTCCTCGTCGCGTTCGCGGATTACTTATTCAGGAAGCAGCCATGGCCAGGGCCTTACACTCTCGGAGCGCTGGTCGTGATTCTAGTGGGAGCTGTAGGGTACGTGTTTACAGACAGCCAGTACACTGTCCGAGCTTACACCTGGGCCTTCGCTTACCTCTTTACAATCACATTCGAGATGGTGTACATCAAGCATATAGTCACCAGCCTGGGACTGAACACCTGGGGTTTCGTTCTCTACAACAACTTCCTCTCCCTCCTCATGGCTCCCGTTTTCTGGATGATCACGGGCGAATTTCGCGAGACGATTAAAGCCGCGAGCACGGCGTCCTGGGAATTCGGGATCGTTTTTCCTGTGCTTCTGTCATGCGCGTTCGGCCTCGCTATTAGCTTCTTCGGTTTCGCCTGCAGAAAAGCGATTTCAGCCACTGCGTTTACTGTACTTGGTGTGACGAACAAGCTGCTGACTGTCGTCATCAACGTGATGATATGGGATAAGCACGCATCCCCGTTTGGAGTGCTCTGTCTATTCATTACAATCGTTGGTGGGGTGATGTACCAGCAATCTACTGTGAAGCAAAACTACCGTGGTGGTGGGGGAGGAGGGTCGGCCAAACGAGAGGAGCTGAAACCATTGACTTCGCCCAAGGATGTTGAAGCCCACAAGGATCACGGTAGTTGAATGCCTCCCTTCCGTTATCCTTCCGACCCTCTCATCCCTCTCATCCCTCTCTCACTCTCTCCACTTCTCTCTCTCTCTCTCTCTCTCTCTCTCTCTCTCTCTCTTGTTCTCTCTCGCATGTACTTTCACTCAGATCTCTGCATGCACACATCATGCCATTCCACCTTCCATCTTCTCCATCATGGCCTATGAATCAACCTGACTGCACTTTAACTTCCATGTTTCCTCACAGATTTCAGCCATTACCTGATGTATGTACTGTACCATATTTCCTTTATATATGAAAGCAGTGGAAGCTATCATGCTCTACTTCTGATATTCTTCATGGCATGGCTGTGATGGGTGTGTGTTTCAAACGCAGTGGAAGAGGAAGGAGCCGAAACTGCTGCTGAGCCGCAATAGGATTGGGCCGGAGGGAAGGGACTGTTCCCACACGTCAGCAACTGCCTTAGGTCGAGAAATAACTTCTGATACCGTAGATGTAGAAAATATTTTAGTGTCATGCATAACGCACGCCTTAAAGTGAGCAGTGGCATAGAATGATCTATACAGGATGTAGAACTATGTTCATGATACTTTTAAATGACAGAGATGAGGAGTCTTTACATCAACCGAACTGCACCGCGCACGAGGCAGTGAGTATTTCATGTTTTTCTGAGCTGCCGCATAGAGCAGACTGTCGTGAGGCGAATTCGCTGCTGGGGCAGTTTGCCCTCCTTTGACCGAGATTCTGCAGGGCAGTTTCCTCGGTCAGAAGATTGAGTATAGCGGTTTGAAACGGTTAAAGGTTGGCAAAGATGCCATCCGGTTCTGCCGTTCTTGCCAACTTCAGGGCGTGTCCAGCGCGTACGTTTTCCGTACATTACAGTTCGCCCAGTGCGGTAGTCTATAATGCGTCACGGTTCAAAACGGTGCAGTTTTAAAACCGTTGTGAACCGTCTGATATCTTTTCAAGGGCCTTGCTGTTGCTGCCGCCGAGCCAGCACCCCACTCCACAGTCTGCCCTGCCACATGAAGAAATCCCTCAGCGAGATTCGTTTTGACTTCTGCTCATTAGCCTAGGCTGCGCGCCTTTGTCAAACGCATGTGCCGGGATTTCAGTATTAGACGTCGGGGTCTGAGACAGCCGGTTATTCGGAAGGAAAGCAGTTTCAGCCCGATGCTCGCCATTAGACTCGAAGCCTCGGTTTTTTCGAGAGCTAGACAAGCTTCTGCGATTGAAAGTTTTTTCCCACTCTCGCAATTCCGCTTCTCTTGCCCAGATTCGTCAAAGAGAGCCGACATTTCAAGGTCTCATAGGGTGCCTGTGCATCGACCCTTGAAATTTTCTGCTACCACGCAATTGCATTCAGGGATTGGTGGACTGTCAAGATCCAGTGCTAGCAGTTACAGGGTTACCATCACCAAGAATCGTCTCTGGTCAGGATCGACAGCAACGCCTGTCGTTTGCCTAATTCAACGCCGAAACTTTACAGCCACAGCGACGGCAGCAATGGCTTCCGACGGTCCCGTCGCAACGAGCAGCAGCGGCGTGACGCCTGCTGACGTGGACAAGGCAGCTGACGAGATTCTCGTGTACTGGTTCGGCGACTTCATGGCGCCTGATTATGCTGTGAGTTGGTTTCAGAGAATTTTTATAAACTATTTGATTAGGCTGCAAGAAAATGGAAATACCAAATCCCCCTTTCCAAGTCTAGCATTTTCTTGAATTTAAGTTGGTTTTCCCGAATTTCCAACCCCCCTTTCCAAGAGTAGCATTTTCTTGTGCTTCCAATCCTCTTATCGCTCCTTGGCAGGGCCCAGCACCAGAGGACGATGTCGTGGCAGCCAAGCAATCTCTTTGGTTCCGCAAAGATGCTGACGTGGACGCTTTTATCCGCGCTAGATTCGCTCCCCTCATCCCACTCGCTGCGTCAGGCCAGCTGGCGGGCTGGGAAGACACGCCACGTGGCGCGTTGGCATTGGTCGTGCTGCTGGACCAGTTTACGAGGAACAGCCTCAGGGGATCGCCTGACTCCTTTGCTCAGGTGAGTGCTGACGCCACCTTCCGCAACTCTTGCCCACGTCATTGCAATCAGCGTCCACGTCACTGCAGACGCCTTGTGTCCTTCAATCTAGAGCTCACTGTCATCTCTAAACCCTCAAGAGCCTCTTCACCCTCTGCAGCATGCACCTCAAGTACCCACTACTACTGTAATACAGACAGTCTTCATTATCTCGACTCTATCGCCCCGGGATGGTACCACAAGCGATGCCACCTATATTCCAACAAGCACCATCATCACAATCCTTGCATGGAGTCGCTTTCTTTAGCAATCTGAACAACTGATTGTCGTTCCAAACTCTTCCGTGACTCACAGAATAGTCTTCCTTTTCATCTACTTCTCCTCGTCCTTTCCCATAACCTCCCTCCTCCCTTTCTTGAAATCCCTCTTCAGGGCTCTTCTTGGGCTGAGATTAAATTTTCTACCTTCTCATTCTTGTTACTTTCCCACAATTCCTGCCATCCCTGCTACAGGACGCGTTGGCCCGTGAAGTCGCAAAAAGGTGACTGAATTCAGTTCCTTTGTAATCGCACCTTTAGAGCACCCTGCTGTGCGGTCACAGCTGGCTCTCTTCTCCTCTTCTCTTCCTAACAGCTCGTGACTTTAAACTTGAGTCACTTTCTAGGTTATCCAAGCAAATAATTTCTCCAAGCTGCGCTCTGTGCTGCCCGTATCCGATTCTCATGTCTAACGAGTTTCATTGCTGATTTGCTTCTACTCCTCTTTTTTGTTCATGACCCTGGAGTTTGTGTGGAAGTTCCATGTTTTTATTGCGACCGCTTGTCCTCACCAAGAGATGGATTTTGTTATGTGCAATGCAGGGCCATAGCCAAGGGATTCAACAAGCAATTTCACCTTCGTATTCGGTCCTTTTTCTACCTGCCATTTATGCATTCAGAAGGTGGGTCAATCTTAGATGCTCTGTAGATACAAGCTCCAGGCGGTTTACTGTTTTTTAAGCCATTTTGGAACATATGTTTTGGGGAGCGCTGATCAGTTCGTTTTTAAGCATCTGAGATTGAGTTTCAGATGGTTTGAATTCTTCCCGTTTGATGCTCGGTTCTCAAACTTCTCGCAAGTGTCTTTTTCCCCCAACCAGACGTAGCAGAACAAGACCTCTGTGTGCAGCTGCTATCAGAGTCAGCAGCTGAATCACCAGGCACTCTCTTCGAGTGTTCATTTTTTTGTCTTACAATAACTCACAAAGTCCCTTTCACTTCTTCCCCTCCCCCCTCCTCACTCACCAGACCTCCCAGACCAAGACCTGTGTGTGCAGCTGCTGTCAGAGTCGGTAGCAGAGGCACCAGAAGGCCCGCTCAAGGACTCTCTGTCCGGGTGGGTGGGCTTCGCTCACAAGCACCGTGACATCATTGTCAAGTTTGGCCGGTTTCCCACCGCAATGAGGTGCTGGGGAGGGAGAGCACAGCGGAAGAGGTGGAGCACGTGGCAACACATGGAGGGTTCTAGGACAGGGGTTGCTGTTGGACTTATTCGTAAGAGGTAGGAGCAGTGCTTGATGGATTGTTTCAACAGTCTAAGGAAGACCAGTTGCACAGGCACTTCCCAACTTTATGCATGCTGCAGTCGACCACGACAGACAAGAACGTGTAGCTCCACTATGATTCAGTGAGTATTTATTTAGTTAAAACCAGTATTGAAGAGGCGAATCTGATGGACATGTAGCGAGAGCATATAATTTTTAACACGCCAAATAAATATTGTTTGTTTAGACAATTTAGCTCATTAAGACGTCAAGCACAATGGTTTTCTAATTAGGTTTCATTAAAGGACACTGTATGATACTGTAAAGTTTGAGCTGCAGAATTCCCATTACCACACACTTGCATATGTTTTAGCAGAATCTGGCACACGCCAGCAAGTGTAGTATATTGTTATCTGTACTGGGATACCTAACAACGCAGTTCTTGCCACGCAAGGCTCCCAAGTCAGCTAACTCCGCCGGAATCTTGGAGATACGAAGCACAGAGATCAGAGGGCGGTTGCTGAATTTGTGTTGACATTGATTGCTGATTGGCTGACGAGGCCCTTGGGGTAGAATCTCAAATGAAAATATAGAAGGACGGTCAGCTCATCTAAACTGAAAATAATCGGTCAAATAGTTCGGTATATATTCCCTCAGCTGCGATGAACACAGCAGGTGGGATCCATGGCCCTTTTCCACGACCGCGAGCATTTCACCTGGTAGTACACAAACTCCAAGCACGTGAACACATTTAGTCACAAAAACTTAGAAATCCTGCAGGTTTGGCTCGATCTGGGCAGGAAGTTTTACACAAAAGTAGTCGCAATAGAGAGAATGCATGCAATGCGGACATTACGGGTGTTTGAGGTGAGGTTGGCCTAGAACCGACCAACCACTCACCCAGACCATGCGTGATTCTCCCCTTCCTCCTTGCCTAGCAGCATGTTTCATGGTGATTCCAATTCCAACACAGCATAACATCTCACATTCCATTCTTGCTTGCATCAGTAAATCTCTGCAGAAGAGCTTTCCGCTTTGCAACTGCATCATCTGACAATCTCAAGGGACGACTGAATTATTGTACGACCTCTGAAACCCAGCATCTGCCTGCTCTTGCTTAGCTCTTTGCTCATGCGGCATGAAGTGGTCGACTGCTCGTCTCGTCATGTAATGGCCAGCAGGCGAAACTCGACTCCCTCTCACTCAAAAAACAGCACAGCTCCCTTGAGATCACCGAACGACAACGCGTCTCCCCTGACCGCTGATGCCACGTGGCAGATGAATTCCCCCATGTCTTTCCTCAACTCCCACCACGTGCAGGGCGTGGTACTTCTGCTCCTAGTCCTCGTCTGCTGCTCCCTCGCCATTCAAGTCCCTGGCAACGCCTTCACCGTTGATCTAAATCCCAGCGCTGTTGTTCAACCTCTGAGCGACCAATTCAAAACCACAGCTGACTTGCAATCGGAAAAAGCCGGTTCTGCAACTGAAGGTGACATTCTCGACTTTTGGAACCAGAAATTCAGTATTTCTCTATTGTTTCACCGCGGAGTGCCTAGTATAACGTTTCTATGATATCGTCTTTCGTTTGCCATCGGATTCCCTCCTCCGCCTTCTTCCGGTTTCCGTTCTCTGCTCCTGAGTCATTACGCATCAAGACCTGTAGATCTGCGTCACGAGCTCGTTTCCTACCTTCATGGGGTATAACTGCTCGCATGTCGATCATGTTTCTTTCCAGCTTTCTCTTCGTGAGAGGTTGCATCATTGTCAATATCTTTCGTCTTCGCCTCAATCATTTATTCCGAATGTCCTTCGCTGTATCCGCGGCTGCTTGCAGTGACAAAGATGGCTACTTTCCCTGATGTGGTGGTGGTGGGAGGCGGCCTCGCGGGCCTGTCTGCTGCCGTGGAAGTCGTCAAGCGAGGCGGATCCGTCCTCGTCCTCGAAAAGAGCGAGCGGTCAGTTGCTGAACGAACGGTAATTTGCTGAGTGAAGTTAACGTTGCTGCAAATTTACTTTCTTTCTCTTCGTTTTATCTCTCCGGTGGGTCATGTATTCCGCCGTACATTCGCGTCTCCTGAGTTCCCAATATTTTTCGTCGTAGTGACGTCTTGATTGTGATCCTGTCCTTGTGTGTCTGATTGCCTCGCAGGCTCGGCGGTAACTCTGGCAAGGCGAGCTCTGGTGAGCTTCTATCCCCCGCTCTTTCCTTGCTGCTTCACCCTGACGTTTGCATCACAGTGTTCGGAAAACAAATATTTGTTCTTATGGGGTTTTGAATTATGACATCTGTGCGTCATATTCCCTCGCATCAAGCCTTTGGAACTGCAATGTTGTACGAATCCCGGTGGGGTCAGGATTAGCTCCCTGAAGCGTTCGTCTTAACCTGGCTAGATACCATCTTTGGATTGCCGGAGGTTCTTTCCCCTCAGACCGTGATCCCGTGTTCGCTCCCGTGATTCCTTTTCATTTTATATTTTCCCCTTTAGGAATGAACGCTGCTCGCAGCGGGCCCCAGCTGGCCAGTGGCATCGAGGACAAGCTGGAGGATTTCGCTAAGGACACCGAGAAGTGAGTCCCTTCTTCGACTGCGGCTGTTCCGTTCCTTGTTTCCCTCGCTCTTTTCTGCCATGACATGGTGCTTCGAACTTTTTTTTCTGGTAACGGTCCGCCATTGACGTCGTCTCGTGTTGTTGTCCTCTCGTTATCTCATCGCACGTTTCACGCGTTCCTTCCTGCTCGTTGCAGGTCCGGCAAGGGCCTGTCGGACATGGCGCTGGTGGACGTGATTGTGAAGCAGAGCGCGGACGCCGTCGCGTTCCTCGAAGGCTTCCAGATCGACCTCTCCAGCATCGCGCAGCTCGGCGGCCACTCGGTGAGTCCGAAGCTCTCTCAACGTTATGTATCCATGGTACAGAGTTCTACCCCATCTCGTCTGGTTCGCTCTGCACCTCCATGACTCTGTGAAAAAGGAAACCAAAAAGGATTGGTCCACACACTTATGAAAATTATGCATGTAGGAAGGTCAATTGAGCCTTTTTCCAACTTCCTTCTCCTCTTGTCCCCCTTCTGCTCCTTGCTGCGTCGCCCCTTGCTCGCCGCCGCTGCTGCTGCCGCTGCGACGAAGCAGCATCCGCGCACGCACAGGTCCAAGCCCGACGGCAAGCCCATGAACATTGGCTTCCGCATCATGTCCGTGCTCATCAAATACGTCGAGGCTCTCCCTGCTGACAAGGTATGTTTGAGTAGACTCAAAGTCATCCCTCACCGACGGCAAGCCCATGAACATCGGCTTCCGAATCATGTCCGTGCTCATCAAATACGTCGAAGCCCTTCCTGCCGATAAGGTACGTCAGATTTGTGGCTATGGGTTCGTTCTCTGTGGCGTGTGGATTCGTTTGCTGTGGCGATGGGTTCGTTCGCGGTGTGTTTCGTTCCCCACGTCCCTGCTGCCCTTCCGTCATGCTTCCATCGTCACTCATTAGTCCCACTCTTTTCCCATTCGTGGCTCATTCTTGTTCCGTGCGTGTGTGTCGTCTCGTCGTCTCTCTGCGTGCTTGTTGCAGGCCAAGGTGGTGAAGCAGGCCCGTGTGACCGCGCTTCTCACAGACGACAGCGGCGCCGTCACCGGCGTCAAGTACGAGACCCCCGCGGCTGACGGATCTGTAAGTGGGCGGGTCCTGGCAGCACGTCTCACACACAAGTTACCGCGTAGCGGATGTGACGAAAATTACATACACGGGCAGCTGTAGAATTTCCGCCCGTAGTGCGTTGAGAAAGGAAACAAAAAATACTTGAGTGGCAATAGCCGTTGAGAAACCGCCTTTGATAGAAGAGCAAAACAACAAAAGCCGTCCGCCCTCAACGTCACCCTGCTTGCTTCCCCTTCCCGTCCCCTCCTCCTCCCACCGCACCCCTCCCCTCCTCAGGGCGGCAAGGAGGAGACGGAGGTGAAGGCGTCCGCAGTCATCCTCGCCACAGGCGGCTATTCCGCCGACAAGGCCGAGGGAGGTCTGCTGGACCAGCACACTCCTAAGCTGCGAAACCTGGCGACCACCAACGGGCCGTTCGCGACGGGCGACGGCGTGCGACTGGGCGTGGCGGCGGGCGCGGGGCTGATCCACATGGATCAGGTGCAGCTGCACCCGACGGGGTACGTGGATCCCAAGGACCCGCGCAACCCCGTCAAGTTCCTCGCGCCCGAGGCCCTGCGCGGATGCGGCGGTATTCTTTTGAATGAGAAGGGCGACCGCTTCGTCAACGAGCTGACTACGAGAGACGCGGTGAGTAATCGAGCTGTTGCGAGGGATGGGCGCCGTGAGTGATGAAGCAGAGGGGAGAGGGCAAAGGGAGATATGGGTGGAAGTGGGAATGGGTGCGGGCGCGGGGCTGGTGCACTTGGATCAGGTGCAGCTGCACCCGACGGGGTACGTGGATCCCAAGGACCCGCGCAACCCCGTCAAGTTCCTCGCGCCCGAGGCCCTGCGCGGATGCGGCGGTATTCTTTTGACTGAGAAGGGCGACCGCTTCGTCAACGAGCTGACTACGAGAGACGCGGTGAGTAATCGAGCTGTTGCGAGGGATGGGTGCCGTGAGTGATGAAGCAGAGGGGAGAGGGCAAAGGGAGATATGGGTGGAAGTGGGAATGGGTGCGGGCGCGGGGCTGGTGCACTTGGATCAGGTGCAGCTGCACCCGACGGGGTACGTGGATCCCAAGGACCCGCGCCACCCCGTCAAGTTCCTCGCGCCCGAAGCCCTGCGCGGATGCGGCGGGATTCTTTTGAATGAGAAGGGCCGCTTCGTCAACGAGTTGACTACCAGGGACGCGGTGAGTACACGAGCGGACTGACTGCGAGGAGTGGTCGGTGAGTGAAGCTGAGGTGGGCTGGGGCGAGGGAATGGTGGCAGGCGGGGAAAGGGATGTGAGAGATGCACAGAGGCGAGGATTTCTGCGAGATCTGGTTCGGCGCAGGAAGGGTGGGCAGGGTGGGAAGGGTGGGTAGGTTGGCAAGGGTGGGGAGGGTGGGACGGTTGGGAAGGGTGGTAAAGATGGGAAGGGCGGGAAGGGGGGGCAGGGTGGGAAGGGTGGCAACTTGGAAGGGTGGGGAGGCAGGTTGGGAAGAGCCGGAAGGGTGGAAAGGGCGGCAAGGTTGGGCAGACAGGGCAAGGTGGGAAGGGTGGAAAGGGTGGGCATTGCTTAATGATCCTCCTGGCTTGCCTTCACCGCTTAACTCCCCACTCTACATACTTCCTTCACCGCCTTCCGTCTGCTCTCAGGTGGTGGAGGCGATTCTGAAGCACTGCGGCCCACTCCCGGAGGTGCCAGACGCGCCAGCAGGGGGCGCGGACATGCCCGCTGTGTCGTACCTGATTCTGAACCAGGAGGCCATCAACAAGTTCGACCCGCTCTCCTGCCAGTTCTACATCGGCAAGGGGCTTATCCGCAAGGTGAGGTGCGGGTATGGGGAGGGAGTGTAAAGGAAGAGGGTGATGCAGGAGGGTGAGAAAGGCGGGTGGGTGCAGGAGCGAAGCAACGGGGCAGGGATGTGAACATCGGTTTGGAATAATGCCGTATCTCAAGCTAAGTCAGGAGTTCAGCTGTTGACGGTCACTATCTGTCACGAAACTATTTGCACTGAAATCCTTTCAACAAAGGCGCCTTGCCATGGGCACTTCATTCAGGCGGTGCCTAGAGCAATGGAAGATGGCTGATTGCCATGCGCAGGCCAGTTGTGATTTCAACAAAGTTATCACCTTTTATGTTTCCACCCAGCCCACCTCACCTTCTTCATTCAGACCCCACTCTCCTCTGTTCTTGTGACCCACTTTTTCTCTCTTTCCTCCCCTGCCCCCCCACCTCTTCGCCCCGGCGTGCCTTATCCCGCCCAGTTTGACAGCGTGGAGGCACTGAGCGAGGGCACCAAGCTGCCAGCAGCCAACGTGAAGGCTGCTCTGGACGCGTATGGCCACCATGACGCAGAGAAGGGCGACCCCTTCGGCAAGACCGTCTTCCCTATGCTCTTCAAGTGAGTGCTCTCCGCCTCAACTCCCTTCCTTTGAGGCACCTCATAAGTCGTGCATGTTCCACTCCGTAAGCTCACTAAGTGCCTTGTAAGTCCTACATGCTCCGCTCGGTAAGCTCATTCCATGCCTTTTGAGGCGCCTCAAAAGTCCTAAATGTCCTTGTGTAACAGCACCCTCTGCACCAACAGGTTACCTGAGTCATTTGCCTTGGCCAGTGGGTTGTTTTCTTCCGCGCTCTTGTTATCCTCTAACCCATTCCCATTGAACTCCGCACCACCTCGCCACCTCTCCTCTCCCAAACCCATCCATCCCTGTTGCCCCTGCATGTCCCCATCCCTTGTAGCTCCTCGGAGCCCCCACTGTACATGGCCATATCTCGCCGTCACTGCGCTACTGCATGGGAGGCTCAAGTCAAACTTTTCCTTGTCTCATCTGAACTTCCTACCGCTTCACCCAATACCCTGTCCCCGCCTATGTCTCTCCCTCACGTGCAGCTCCTCGAAGCCTCCACTGTACGTGGCCATCATCTCGCCGTCGCTGCGCTACTGCACGGGAGGGCTCAAGTCAAACTTCCCTCTTTTCCATCTCAACTTCCCACCGCTTCACCAACACCCTGTCCCCTCCTGTGTCTCTCCCTCGCGTGCAGCTCCTCGGAGCCCCCGCTGTACGTGGCCATCATCACGCCGTCGCTGCACTACTGCATGGGAGGGCTCAAGTTTGACACCAGCAGCCGCATCCTCAAGGAGGATGGCTCGCCCATTCCTGGCCTCTTTGGAGCTGGCGAAGTGACAGGTGAGCAATGAGGATAATCCGGTTTACGTGAAAGGTGACCAGCTGCCATTTGTCGTGATGCAAGGTTGGGTGATTTTGACACCAACGGCTGTATTCTCAAGGAAGATGGCACGCCCATTCCAGGGCTCTTTGGTGCCGGCGAAGTGACAGGTGAGTGGAACAGATTGTCAGGCTCACGTAACAGATGCGCACGGAAGCAGATGTTTCCCAAATGATGCAAGTGTTGGCGTTTGTACACGTCTTAGTATGCCTGTTGAGCTCATGGCTTGTGTTCTTGTGCTTCACACAGGTGGGCTGCATGGCGCAAACCGTCTGGGTGGTAACTCCCTGCTTGAGTGTGTGGTGTATGGCCGTGTGGCTGGCATCAGTGCCTTTGACCGCATTGGTAAATCTGCTGTTTAGATGCGGTGACTCATGGCTGTGATATTATGTAGTGAATGGTCAATCAGGGGCAATAAGTGGTGTCTTTTTGAAACACTTCAGCTGGTGCAGAGTACATATTGTGAGAATGAATTTGGACAGTGTTCAATCACTGAGCATACTCATAGTAGGACCAAATTGCCAAGTGTACACACAATCCCACATGCACCCATCGCCCTCAACCGTCATACACCCAGCTTGCTGGGTTTAGTTCAATGGGGTCGAATCAATGAACACGCAGATCACGTGGGTACAGTAATGGTCAAGCCCTTGCAGTTTGTTACTTCATAGGAGCACCTCGAAACATGGAAACCAGTTTCGGCAATCATCGCCACTCCGTGGGACAACACCGTCGCGAGATGTTTGCTGCTTCGCCAGATTTCGTGTCGTGTCGCGAGTGGTGCACAATTTAGTGGCCGTGTTCGACAGGCAGGTACCTCCTTGGAGAGCTAGGGTTAGGTTAGAGCTAAGAGGAGTTTTCGAAGTAACTTCTCCTAGGCTACCCCCCCACCCACGAAATCGGAAGCAGCGCCTCCCGAGGTCGGAAGGAGGAGGTCGTCATGGCGATGTTGCAACCCCTCCTTCCACCATCTTCATCGTGGGCAGGGTCTAAAATTTTGCGTAGGGATGGCATGGGAACCTGGGTAACTCAAGGGAGAAGTGGAGAAGTGAGAGTCGTGCGTGGCTGGTGGCTGGTTTGGTTGTGTGAGGAAGGGACTTTTTCAGGGGCAGAGATGGGAGAGGCGAGAGCATGGGCACTGGTGGGAAAACTTTCGTAGGGTATGAGGTGGGTATTCCCTCCCGTATGGAACCCTAGCCTAGCCCTTGGCCAACCTCCCTTCTGGGGATTGGAGGGCTGGGCTAGAGCTAGGCTAAAGTCTGTGCGGGAGAGAAGGAGCTGGGAGCTTTCGGAGGAGATGAAGTTGAAGGGTTAACGTCATGTTCGATAGGCTAATCCTTAACCCTTCAGGTTGCAGGGCGTTAAAGCCCAGTGACACCAATTTGCGGGCTGACCGTGAGAAAAAAGTCTAAGTGGAAACAGCCGTGATGATTCCGCGGAAGGGCTTGCCTGCCTGTCGAACAGGGTCCGTGTGATCACGGCTGGTCAGAAGACCAGGCAAAACCGAGCAAAACTCGAGACGTCTGGTCTGGACGGTAGATTTCCTGCTGTGGCCTCGTGATTTTGGAAGAATATATTGCACTGCCAGTCAGCAAGCTGACCGCGGGCAAGAAAAAAACTAAAACCCACTCGGATGGCATGCCATCCGAGGGAGCCTCAACCCTAAAATGTTAGGGTTGAGGCTCCCGAATGGCATGCCGTAAGCCATGGGATTTATTTTTTTTGCCCGCGGGCAGCTTGCTGACGCGGTCGGTAGCGCTACCGGGCGCTACCGACCGCTACCGGCCCCAAAAAGTGAATTTTTTTGCAGCAATTTCCCTCGGGCTTGCCCCCCCTCCCGCGCTTCTAGGGTAACTTCCGTGTCGGTTTTCCAGACTGTACAGTACAGTAGGCCTAGCTGGTACTTCTCGATACAGCTCACTTGCTCTCTTTCTGGTTCACTCGCTTTCGGCTCAAGCTTCCAGCTCACTAACGAGTCACACCACGGCTATTTCGGTCACTGGATTTCAGCCCAAGCTTCCAGATCTAAAATCCAGCGCGCTCCATCCATCATGAATCGCCGCATGCGGAGCGGTTGACCGTTGCCAGCGCACCTAGAGTTTGTTGTACGTGTAACTTCTGATTTCGCACAGTTACACAGTCGACGGCATTCTATGGAGGTCCAGACTGTAACACGACCTGCTGCTAGGCATCTGTAACAGGACAGGATTTGCCATGCTAGCATGCATGGGAATCTCCGAATGGGAGAGAAGTTGTATCTCTTAGCTAGATCCGAACTCTGCACTTGCTAGCCTCGAGAACACTCTCCCATCCCCGTCATACCTTAGAATCCAGCAGGGCATGGCATCGAGGCGCTATGCCAAGATGCCATGCTAAATGCTTGGCGACGCGGGCTTTCCTTGCAAGCCGCGCTTCTCTTCTCATAGCATAAATACTACTTATGAGATCTTGCTTGTATCATCCTATCATTCTATTCTATCTTCTTGCCATCTTGGATCCCACCTTCTACTTCTAGCTTAGCTCTTCCGCTGCCTCTACTCGTTCTCCTTCTTTCTCTCTATCTCGCTACGGCGCAGCTCTCTAGTCGCCATGGCCGGCCAGGCCAGCCGCGCCATGCGGACTGCGCCGTAGCCTGTTTCAGCATCGAACTGAACCACGCACTAGTGGTGGATTAGTGCCTCCACGACATCGTACTGTACTAACTGCGTGCGTCCCGTGCGATGGCGGTTGACTGCCGCCAAGAACGTGCAGCGCGGCGATACTGTCACAGCGAAAGCTCGTGGTGTGGTGGCCCCAATCATGTGAGGCGGAGCGCCCCGTGTCTGCCGCCCGGGGACGCCACGATTGGCGCACGACTCACCCTACGGGTGGGATGGCGCCGCGATCGCAACAAACGCGGCGGAGCGGAAGAGTGCCCTTCCAATCCTTCCCAGAAAGTGTTGCAGTATTTCTCGAAGAATGTCTCGTTCTTAGTCCAGATTCGCATCCGCCTTTCATCTCATTTCCGAAACGAAGTCGTTTCATCTCAGCTCCTTTCATGCCAGTTGTGCAGACTCCTAGTGCCACATTGTGACGGCTCAGACGAGAGGCTCTCCTAGCGTCATATCGTCCGCTGCCCACTTCACCGCCGGTAAAGGCCCGCTCGCAGGCTCAACCGCTGGCCTCTAGTATTGCCAGTTCTTGAACGACGCCGCACCGCTCTACCTGAACGACGTCGCACGGCTCTACCTGAACGACGTCGCACGGCTCTACCTGAACAACATCGCAACCTGAACGACGTCGCACGGAAGGGACACCGTCGGACTCTCTCGCTACCGCCCCACTCTTCGCTATGGACGATCTTCTTTTCCCGCTCGCACCGCCGCACTCTCCGCACTCTTCCCTGCTCGCGCCGCTGCACTCTCCACACTCTACCCTTCTCTCACTGCCGCACTCTCCCCACAACAGCCACGGCACTACCACCACCATCACCAGCAGCAGCAGCAGCAGCAGCAGCATGGGAGGGGCACCGCCGGTGTTACCACCACCGTCGGACTCCCTCGCTCCTGCCGCACTCCTCGCCATGGACGACCTTTTTCTCCCGCTCGCACCATCGCGCTCTAAACACTCTTCCCCGCTCGCACCGCTGCACTCTCCACGCTCTACCCTTCTCGTACCGCCGCAGTCTCCGCCCTCTTCCCTTCTCGTACCGCCGCAGTCTCCGCCCTCTTCCCTTCTCGTACCGCCGCAGTCTCCGCCCTCTTCCCTTCTCGCATCGCCGCACTCTCCGCCCTCTTCCCAGCTCGCAAGCGGAAAGGTGCAGATACAGCGCATGCTGGCTGGGCTCTCGCACCTTGAACGCTTGCTGCGACTGCAGGAAGCACAGCAGGTGGAAGTTCAGCAGCTGAAAGCACAGCAGCCAGAGGCAGCAGCAGCAGCAGCAGCAGCAGCAGCAGCAGGGACAGCAGAAGCAGCAGTTGCCGACGCAAGGGCAGAGGCAAAGGCAGGGGAAGCGGTGCTGTCAAGCCGGGTGATGGCGAGGCTGCAGATAAGGGGGGACAAAGAGGACGACAGCGCGCAGCTCATGGCTCTCCTGCGGGCGCGCACACAGGCGGAGGAGCAGCACCTGTCTACGCAAGCGAGGCGGAAGCAGCAGCAGCAGCAGCAGCAATAGAAGCAGAGACAGTAGCAGCAGAACCTATGGAAGCGGCGGAAGGAGCACCAGCAACGGGATTATCAACAGCAGCAGGAGCAGCAGTTGGAAGGAGGGGAGGGGGAGCACTGGCTCTCAGCTTTCTCCTCACTTTCGGATGCTGGAACATCAACAAAGCTATTTGAGACCGCCCTTGCTTCTACGTTTGCTCCCAGGTACCGTCCAGATGGCGCTCTGCAATTGGCTCGTGGTGGAGGTGGGTGGGGACGCAAGGGAGGACCGGGCGGGGAGAGGAGTAGCAGTGGTGGCAGCTGTGGGGCCCCCGAATTCGCTGTGCATGGCGTTTTCAGCAGTACTGGCACCAACTCAGCAAGCGACGCTGGAAAGAAGAGAAAAATCCCAAGCCCAGGAGGTCCCACTAGCTTCGCGACAGCCGCTCACATGGGACAGCAGGGCCCCAGGCATATCCCGCATGCCTGCCACAGCCAGAGGAGCGTGCTCGAACCGGCCAGTGTCTCATTCGTTCGGCCGAATCCAGCCAGTGCCGTAGCGACGTCTATCCTGGGCAGTGCTACAACGACACCTATCCTGGGCGGCAGTGCCACGGTTGTTGATCCTCGTATCCTGGGCAGCGTAGCGACTAGACGAGTGGGAGAATCAGACACGAGCGGCGTGGACGGCATGGGTGGCATGGGCGGCAGGGTTCGGTGGAATTCTGGCGACGATTTTGGTGCGGGCGTGTGCCTTCAGCAGCAGCCTGTGTGCAACGCAGATGGTCTCCTCCGGCCCCCCTCAGACGACAATCCGTGCAGGGGCGCGGAAGGTTTGCACACACGAGATGAGCACGGGGTGATATACCAGAGCAGGGCCACTGGCTGCACATGCGATGTGCAAGACGAGTGTGCCACGGACGACGAGCGATCGCGTCCGTGCCAGGCCGTGGGGACTGGTTCGGCGTCGAACCAGAGGGTTACGAGACGCAGCATGGCGGAGCGGCGGAGGAGGGGGAGGATCAGTGAGGGGCTGCGGAGGCTGCGGGCGAAGGTGAGGGGGCGGGGGGACACGTGCGCTATGCTGGATAGAGCCGTGGGTTATGTTGATGCGTTGGAGAAACGAGTGATGGAGCTAGAGGGGGTTGTCATGGCGGCTGCTGGGTCTGGGGGGAACGGTTTCCCTGGTAATGCGTTTGCCAGTAGTGCTTTTGGGGGTAATGTCTTTTTTAATGATGTTGCGACGCTGAGGGCGATACCGGCTGCACTGACATCGGTCCCTACTAGCCTTGGGAGTGACTCTGTTGCTGGTTGGCCTTGGGAGTGACGCATGGCAGGTCAGGGCTTTCTCCTATGCTGCTGGAGGTTCGACACATCAAGCATATGTATATGGTGGAAGGAAGGAACCCAGGGATTTGGTCTTCCATGCAACTGCTTTTGTGAACTGGGTCTATTGTGCATATGTTTCCAAATGCTTCAAATGCAAGTTTATGAATATATATACCGTATTGTTATATGTACATCTATTTACTAGTGTACCACCTCAGGTACAATGCATATGCTTGCACCAGATATGCATGTTAGAGACTGCATGACTAGAGAAGAGAGGACTGCACACATGAGTGGTTAGAGAAAAGTGTACCATTAGTGCGACATGAAGAAAGGTGCTGCTAGTATAAACAATCAGAAAGGTTATGTGATAGCACCTGCTTTCCACCTTCTCAGACACACTGGTTTTCAATGAAATGCAATGGACCTTGTTACTTAGCAGGTGCTCCCCCTTTACATAATGCATGCGCTTTTCTAGTGTTCTTTGCCAACCATGATCTGATCATGTTTGATGATACCTCATATCTATGTTGAATTAAGATTGCCACAATGACACCAGGTATTGGCCCAAGAAGGAACCACTGACAGTATTATATTTCGGTGTTTTCTATATAATTTGATTGCCTAGAAACTACTACTTGTCTCAATGTATACACCTCAACAGCATTATTCAAGTGCCAAATCAAGGCGCCCAGTACAAACTAAGTAGTGGCAGCTCATGGATTTCCTCGGGCATACAGTTGCGCCGCGTCACTGGCAATCGTGGGGCAGAGTGTGTTTCCCATGTGACGAGCCGCTCGCGGCTCCGCTTTCGATCGAACAATGTGGGTCAAGGGAAATTGTGGAATTCGCCACCTTGGGGAGGGAGGGTGGTTGCGTGGTGATGAGCGAGGCAGGATGCTTGTTGGTTACTATCAACTTTGGAGAGTTCAGTCTGGTGCGCAATGGTTTTAAACGGTGAGATTTGAATCTTGTTCCTCACCGTGCTCCAGCGCCTTGCACCGCGCCAGACATACACTAACAACTTCGACCCGCCACGTTTTCACTGTGCTAAGAAACAAAGCAAAGCTTGGAAACAGACAGAGCTGCCACCGAGATTGATGGTGGTGCGGTCATTTTTGGCTGAATCTCACAGCATCGGTCTCGCGTATTCCCTCCAGCAACCACTCTCGGCTGCTGGCTCGTCTATCTCCCGATTCCCATTTCTTCGGAAGGATATGTCAAAGCAGTTTCCGGAGTTCGAGCTTTCATAACACGTAGTATCTATCCGATTTAACGTTCTTACCTAGCATCGCCAGACTGCCTGCCGCATCACACCTTCTTTGCCGTGCAGCCCCAGTAACCTTCCGATCAAGATCTAACGCTACAGATCCAGTATCTTCGTTTCGTCTCACGTTTTGCTTCTTCCTCACCTTTCTGACTGCAGCTGAATCCGTTGGCTAGGGAAGGCTAGTTACAAAAGAACACCTTACGAAAGACAATCAGCCCGGGTGCCGGACGCATTCCCACAACTCTAGTAGACACAGAAGTCCTTACAGAGACTATCTTTGAGGCGTCGCAAGAATCGTTACTAGGACAATCAGAAGCGATCTTCGATGGATTCGAGGTCGATACATCTGAGATTTCTCCTCTGCATTGCTGCCGCCGCGATGCTAGCAGCTGCGATACCGTCCACAACAGCCAGCGCGAGAGAATTCGAAGTAAGAACAAGCTCTCGCATTCTCTATACCGCAGTAACTGAATCGCTTCGAGCGGGAATCGCCTCCCTCACGGTATTTTCGCACTTTCTTGGCCGTGAGTAGTTTCTTCCCTTGCTCCTCCCGCAGCGACCTGCCTTTCGAACGTAAATAGTAATTATAAATAAAAAATGTGTACGCTTCACTCTGTAACATCGTGCATGCAAAATGAGCTCTTCGCGTGGCTGTCCGTCCGAACCCCTTTCCTGCAGCGATACGCCATGCGAACGTCGCGAAGTGGCGCCGGTGGTAACTCGCGCGTAAAGTGGCGTCGGCTGCAGGTGTTCAAATGCCCCAGCAACCAGACTGTCTGCGGCTCGTGAGTACCGCAACAGACACACGCTCACATGCTCACTCAACCCCACAACTTTACAAAAGTCGCCTTTTATTCTCTGCAGTACAGGTCCTTGCTCACTTGGAAAACGCCCGTGGTTCTCCCTTGTCTTGTCCTCCGCACTCTCCCCCACCAGCTGTCTGTGGGCCAGGCGAGTGACATCTCCAACAGCGTAAGAATGAGCTGTTCTACGAAACCATTTCTCTGTCCCTCCCCTCCCCCTCTATCCCCCCACCAGCCTATGTATGGTCCAGGTTATTCACTACAACAACTGCGGAGCGCTCGTAAAATCCCAAGGATGCATCGCTTCACCTGCCCACTGGATGCATCGAATCACTGGCAGTCGCCTTGTACCCACTCACTTCCTCCACCAGCCTCAGAGTGGACGAGACGTCGGGCATAGAAAACAGCAGAAGATGCGTTGCTTCAGATTTTAATCTCCTTGCACACCAACTCCCCCACTCCCCCCTTCCACACCAGCCTGTGTGTTGACCAATCGACTGACATCAACAACTGCGGGACGTGCGGCAACTTCTGCGACGTGTCGCTGAATTGCTGCGGCGGCAGCTGCGTGAATCTCGACAGCAGCAACGACCACTGCGGCGCCTGCGGTGCGCGCTGCCCCGGGCAATGCACCCTCGGCATCTGCAATTACGGTGCTGCTGCTGGCGGCGGTGGTGGAGGCGGTGGGGCAGGGAGGAGATAGCACATTGTAATCCAACCATGAATGATAGGGCAGATACACGGACGACTTACTAGGGCATCCAACTTGATGTCCCCAAATAAATCCTTGGTTCCTACAGCAATGGAGCAATAATGGCTGAAGGGCAAGAGCTGTCATCCTGTACTACTAGCTAGTTTCCTCCTTGATGCTCTTTTGATTTGTGGGTGATTTTTTTTTTCTTAATGTGTCAGCAAATTGGATGATGATGGGCCACAACATGGAATATAATATGAGTTGTAATGAAAAAGAGTGCGCAGAAGTCAATAACGAAGTTGTGAGCAAACAATAAAGCCTAGCAGTGGTGACGTTCCCGAACTTCTCGCGCCAACTTACATGCGTCGCGGGGCAAATGCGGAGCACACGCCGGCCAGGTTGGTTTCGACAATTACAGGCTGGTTCTGTTGGCGCGAAATTCCCCTCTAGTGTTGCGTGCTTGGTTTGTCAAAGCAGTCTGGTTCAGGTTTCCATAACTCGTATCCATTTTCACATTCTGATCTGGTTTCGCCTCGCCAGATTTTCTGCCGAATCGCACCTTCGTTGCCGTCCAGCCTCCGCAATTACCGCTCCAGTAACCTTCCGGCTCAGTTCGAACGCTTCCAGATCCAGTATGGGGTCCAGGCGTGATGCGCGCCTACCAAACAGGGCCTTCGTTTCTTCGCACGTTCTGCTTCTTCCTCACCATTCTAGCAGCAGCGTATTCCGTCCTCTGGAAAAGACTGCTACTTACGACGAATGCCATACCAAAGACGACAAGCCAGAGTCACCGAAGTACGGTTCCTCTTCGGACGCATCCCTACAACTCTAGTAGTAGACGCACATTCGTTATACCGAGACAATAGTAAGACTGCATTCTCGATGGAGTCAAGGTCGATACGCCTGAGTCTCCTTCTCTGCATCGCCGCCGCGTTACTAGCCGCGGCCGCGATACCGTCCACAACAGCCAGCGTGAGAGAGCTCGAAGTAAGAACAACTTCTGGATTTTCTTATATCGCAGTAACTGGATCGTGTCGTCTGGATCTTTCTCTCTCAAGCTTCTCTCGCAATTTTTCTCTCTCTTTCTCTCACACTCTGTCGCGCTTTCTCGGCGGAGCCGAGCTAGTCCTCCCCTTGCGACCCCGCACCCAGCTGCCATTCAAAGCGTAAATATATTGACCGCAAACTTGCTGCGAGTGACGCCAGCTTAGCGGCGAACTGCTTTTAGTAAAAACCCTTTGCAATCTGTATCCCGCCCTCCAGCGCGCTGCATGACGTCATGCATGCGAAATAAGCTCTTTGCTCGGTTGTCCTCCCGTAACGCTCCCCTGCAGCGAAACGCGATGCGAACGTCGGGAAGTGGCGCCGGCGGTGGTAACTCGCAAATGAAGTTGCGTCGCCTGCTGGCGTTCAAACCAAGTTGCCGCGGGAACCAGACCGCCTGCCGCTCGTGAGTACCTCACGCTCACACACACATTCACGCACAAGTTTCGAAACGATTACAGTTGATGCAGTGCAGGTCTTTACCCGCTTGTGACTGCACATGTGCCCGTCACTCTATCCCCCCACCAGACTGTTCGTGGACCAGACAATGCAAGTTGTCAGTGACAGCAAGAACTGAGTAGCGCGCTACTGCTTCCCAAGAATAGCCTGTTGAGACTCACACTTCCATTTTCCTTGCACCCACTCTCTTCCCCCACCACCCTCGGTGTGGGCTAGTCAGGCAGAAATTACTGAAAAGGCTGCATTTTCACCTTTGTCCTTGCAACTAGCCCCCCACCAGCCTGTGTGTGGACCAAACGACAGATGGTATCAAACCCAAAAGCTGCATTGTTTCACAACCCATTCTCCTTGCACGCGTTCCCCTTGCATTGTTTCCCCCCACCAGCCGGTGCGTGGACCTATTGACTGACGTCAACAACTGTGGGGCGTGTGGCAACTTCTGCGAAGTGTCGCAGAATTGCTGCGGTGGTAGCTGTGTGGATCTCCTCCACAACTACGAACACTGCGGCTCCTGCGGTGCGAGTTGCCCGGGGATATGCACCTCCGGCATGTGCTTCAAATTCGACTGAGCTGTTGCTGGTAGCGGTGGTGGCGGTGGTGGAACAAGGCGGTGGTATTTTAACCTTGAAAGATGCAGCGAGGTCAGATAAGTGGACGACATATAAGGGCATCCAACTTGATGTCCAAAAATATATCCTTGGCTCCTAATAGGATGGATTACTAATGGC